GATTGTGGGTGTAGGAGGACTGTGTGGTGGTGGGAGGGGGGTGGGGGGGACTGCTCAGGAGGTGTGGATCCCCTGCCCACTGCACAGCCCCCCTGCAGCAGCAGTGGTGGCCATTGGGGTGCTTGTGGCCCACTGTTGGCAGAGACTGCCCGCAGTGCAGTACTGCCTTAGACTTGGCGGCTGCACACGGTGCAGATATGCATGCATGGGGAACATTTTTTCATTCCTAGCATGCCTCCTGCAGCATCTCAAACTGCTTTGAAATACTGCAACTGGCACATGCTCGTTCATCTGGACACAGCCATAGGGGATGTCTATAACAGTTCCCTGGCTTTCCTGAGAGCATCACCAAGAAGTGTGCCCTGCCCCACCTGTGCCAAACACTGGACAGTCAATGAAGTTGCCATAAGGCACTCCTTGCTGCTAATCTTGAAATCACTTGAAATCACTAGCTTGAGAGTGGTGGTGGGGGCGGCAGAGTGGGACTGAGTCAGTGGAACATGCTTCTTAGCAGTGCTCTATCTGTACAAATGTGGTACAGACATATTCAGAGAAGGTGCCTGTGTATCCTCTGTGGCAGAAAATTACTGTTATCCTGCCTGATTCAGGACTATTTCCACTCTGCTAGGAAGGACAAGCTATAATTAACAGCTCTTCTTATGCCAGCAGGTGGGGTGACACCCTTAGTGGTCAGAGCATGCTCTCAAACTGTGCTCTTTTATTCATGCATTTACCGATTCATAAGCCATTACAATCCTGAGACCACATCCTGGCAATGGCACTGTCCACAAGCAGCTACCAAAAAACATGGCAAACCAACATGAAAAAACCTAGAGGCTATGGTTTTCAAAAGCACCGAAGTAAGGCTGGAGTACAAGTCCTATTTCAGTACTATGCTGATGCTTAGAAAGCCCAACCAAGCAGCTATCTGCCCCACTTGTAACTCTCTTGCAGAGGGTCCATGCCAGCATTTCCTCTGTAATGGGAGCAACAAAAGAACACCATGATAAGAAGAAAGGTCTAGACTGGGGCATCAGAAATAACCCTTGTACGTATGCCCCCAACTTGGCAGCACATCCACACCCAAACTATTATTCCTACTTGGGGCCCAGATCTGTACAAGATGGAGTTGTACATACAATGGGCATACAGTTGTGTTGCCTTTGAAGCATGTATTGAATTGTGTGCTCTTGTGTATCAAGCCAAAACACAGTGTTTTGTTCTCTTATTACGTAATTGTTTGTTCTTCTAAGTAAGGAAATTATTGACTGGGAATGAGAGGATCTGGGTGGTATTATGTGCCTCCTGGCCTAAATTCAGTTCTATATAAAGCCAGTAGCAACACCCCCAATGTCTTCAAAAGGGAACAGTATGCAGTGCATGCTCCAGGAGTAGAAACATGGTCATTTCTAGTAGCTACTTGTCTCCTTCACAGATACGGTCTCTCCTTTTGGGGTGCATTTTTCAAGCTTTCCATTACTTCTGCCTCCGAGGTGAAAGGCAGCCCTGGAGTCTAAGAAGTGTTACTCTCTGAACTTTGTTCAGCCCTATTAACATGGTCTTCCTTCACCCCCACAATTATTCTTTCTTGAACTACAGAATGTGTAATGACCTTTTTCATTACTATGGACTTTTATGAACTAATTATTGTGAATTAGATGATTTTAGAAATATATCTGGAAGAAAAGTGATGCTTTTGCTGAACGTTGCATAGTGTGTGTGTGTGTATGTATGCATGCATTGTTGCATGTAAGTATGTGTGTGTGGCTGGGTGTGCATGTATATGTGTGTGTGTAGTTACAGGTGCATTATTTTCACATGGATCTCTCTTTTTGCTTCAGAGCTTCTAACACCATCACTGCCCACACTATCATTGGCCTCTGTGGAAGTGCAAAATGGATGTGAGGCTGTATTGCCTAGAGGTTTTTAATGCTAGTTATTAACATCCATTTTATCATTTATTTAAGTGCTACCTACAGCCCTGATTCTGTTAGTTTTACTCATGCTGAGTAAATCTGAAGGCATCTTCAAGTCAGCATCAGCAAGTGCCTAAATGGCAATAGGGTTGAGTGGAGGGTGCTGAGGATTAAGGGACTCATGAAAAGCTCATCATCCAGTATTTTGCCTATATTTAACTACTCAGATTGGGCATATGCTTCCTGCTGTTTAGAGTAGAAACCCTGACTTAGGTTTCCAGTGTCATTCCAAATTATGCAAAGTCAAATCAGCACAATCTTGTGGCTCTCAATTGCTATACAGAGTGATGCTATAGGGTTACGGAAGGTTCCACAAGAGTTACAGATCCCGAGAGCTTTCTGCTTTACCCAGCATTGAGGCAGCTGAGATGTTTTTGCTTGCACTGAAGAATGTGGAGGGATCCCTGTCAGAGGAAAGAGCATACCTTTATTACAAAAGCTGGTCCAGGTGGGGATGCTACCTTCCTTACGAAAAGTCTGGATTCAGTCCCATTAAAAGCCGTAAGAGGCACTGGCCATTATACTTTGCTAAAGACAGGCCGTATGTAGTGTCACACTCCTGGAACAGTGGGAACCGGTAACCATTCTGAAAGAGGATGGCAGTTCTTTGGGGAATTTTCCGTTGCGAGCATTTCCTGTGAGCCCAGGACAATGAATAATGAGCTCCAGTTAAAAGGAATAATGACACAATATGGCCATTAATCATAAAAAGTCTTTACATGTAGTAATGGAGATTTCAGTGAGTCGAAATCTTCAAACTTCCTGAAGAGTTTACATTAAGAGAGCCTAGAACAAAAAATGAGCCTGACACCT